CAACATTCACTCAAATAACTGTCATTTCAAGAGAAGAGTGATTGGACAGGAAGAGACGTATGCAGCACATATTTGAACTGACTGACTGACTTGATGACAGGTATTGCCTGCCACTACGTGAACTCAATGACGACCTCGCACTCTTCGATTAGTGGTTTCGCCATATTCAATCGATGAATACTGTAGCGATGTCCGTTTGTGATGGAATACTTGCCAGCATCTGTCTACATGTGATGTTATGTGAACAGTGTGAATGGTATTTTCAGTGAGAAAGATGCGAAATCCAATATCAATTTCATGTGATGTGAATGTTTACTTTCTTTGTTGTGTTCAAACTCACTTCGACTAATGTATGAAATATAGTTTTGTGACTAGTTGTTACTGTCTCCAAACAACTAACATGAGTTTTATTGAATTGTGTAAAGATCAATGTGAAATATATAGTGAAGATGGTTATTCCTTACTTGACCTTTTGTTTACTTGCATTTGAACACAATACTAATACAAGAACGACAGAATCGACAACAAATACCACTACTACAACCACCAATAATAATAATAATAATAATAATAATAATAATAATAATAATGATTATAATAAGTACTTGTCGAAACTAGTTTCAACCTGCTTCTTTTTCAACTGCTTGTAGTTGTGATAGTAGTATACTGAATATGGGTGGTGTGTAGTCCCCATCACCTATGTAACTATTAAGCCATCTACCTACCCATTCATAACTTACTAACTAACTAACTAGCTAACTATCCGATCAGTGCATAAGAAATATGTTCCAATAAAACTACCTCATGAAACCGTTCAATCGACTGAATTAAACTTCTCCATTCACCAATAATTCAATGAATGTGTTCAATAAAAGGGCATCCGACTAAACAATTATGGTCGAAATCGAAACAACATTTGTTCTTCAAAATTCTTGTTAGTGTGAATGACTGTTATACATGACTGCTGTTGATTTCAAGTGTTTACATTTTGGTAGTAATTGTGACGTATTAATGGTTGGTGGGAGATATCGAATAGGAATACTCGTATTCTTGTCTACAATGACTAGACTTACAAAGAGTAGTTTTATTTAGATATTTTTCAATGAGTTGTTTGTAGATATTAATTCGATATGAAGTTATTCTTATTATTATCGTCATCATGATTATGATTACTACGATTACTATCAAGATGTGATATCAGGTAAGAAGAAGTGGGTGTGCGTCAGTTTAAGGAAACTGTGTTAATGAAAGATACTGATAGAGAATGATATATATTGATGAATAACTGTATATGATTATGTTTAGATGCAGAAGGACATTGGCGTGTGTTCATGTATTTTTTCGGAATAAAATAACCTTACCCATCAACTAACTATGGATTCCTTCTCTCTATTCTATCATTGTGAGACTTCACTCATCAGTAGTCACAGGGACTCCAATGATTTCAACACCACTATATATGTTGCCTGCTTCTCCAACTAACATTCTGAATATGTCCGACTGATTCTACAAATGCTATCCACGGTAATCGATATTAGTATTTTAGTTTATTGAGTTGAATGAAACATATCCATTCGGCTTTCATTCAACAGGTTGTCAACTTGAAGATCACCTTATACATCAATTTTCAGTTTAGCATTTAGGAATTATCGTAATGAATTTGTTTAGTCTAAATGCATGAGTACATAAATGTTTACTTAGTAAAACAACTAAGTCATCAATTTTATTTAATTAATCAAATTTGTTTGCTCATTTTTTATCTGTTCAGCTTATATACTACTTTTTTTAATTATTCTGTTTCTGTTGTCTAGATATTTTTTCTCTCTGATGAATAATTATGACAAATTTAATTGAGTTACTTTACTGCTGTTTGTTTTGTGCATAACTCTCTACATACATACATATTTTTCTATATCAGTTATTTTTATATTATCTCATTGTCATTATCTTAAAATCTTAAAACAAAAAACTCAAAGAAATAAAATGATCTTATTTCATCCAAATTAGACAATATTTATCAACTTAGATTAGTTCATGTTAATACAGACTACAATAATTCTATGTTGTGTGCAAAAAGTAGAGAAAAGTATATATATATATATATATATATATATATATATATATATATATATATATATATTCACTGATAAAAACAAGTATATATGTGTATCTGTATATATCACATCACATTAGGTCGAGGAGTTGCATAAATGGTAAATTAACATTTTTTAATTATCTTTCATTGCTGTTGTATTGATCTGGTTGTTCACTAGATATAATGAAATTCCAACTTCATTAGATAAGTAACTAATTGAACTGAATTGAATACTGAAGAAGATTATCATTTTTTATACTAGATAGAAATGCTTAGTTGATTATTATGCTATTTTCTTGCTGACAGGTTAATGAGAAAGATGACTACGATATAATGTTATCAATAAATTAAAAATCTAGTAAATCTTATCTCCTTAATTGGTTACATCAACAGCATAGAAACAGTTGTGGTTACGCCTGTTACCCCCAATGGACAATAGGCAGCTGACCAGCATTCCCAAAACTACTCTGCCCTGGGCTTTTCTTTCTAGCTCCGTTCAATTGTTGTGTTTTCCTCTTCTCTTTCGGCCTTGAGGATTCCAAGTGAGGGGTTCTCTTGTGACACAGTTGGGTACTTTCTGCAATCTGTGTTCCATCCACCCCCTGCACTTTTTCCTAATTTGTCCCTCTACTGGAATCCGGTTTGTTCTCTACCACTGTCGGCTGTTGCTGATGGCATCTAGTCAACTGATTGAAAGTATTTTGCGGATCTGTTGACCAGTATAGAAACAAAAAGGTGATTAAAAAGAGGCCAAACAAACTTGAGAACTCCAGACAGTAATCGATAATCAATGAAAAGCTATCAACTTCACAACCTTGTTTACATTTTTAGAGTTGAATTCGACACAGATTTAAGAAGACCTTAAATAATCTAGTTGTAAACTAATAAATGAAAGTTCTGACTTATAAGAAAGCATAAGGTAACTTTTCCCAGTTCGTATACTTAATAGGTTACTTTTGCTTTAGGTTTATTGTATAAAGGTCACGTCAAGTCTAACTAGAGCGACTACCGATTATCAAATAATCATCTGAATAGAAAATAGTGTACAATCAAAGTAGGATACAACTCATCGTTTCGATAGCCAGTATGTATTTTCACATAAATAAATTATTTACGAGACTAATTACTTAAATTAAGAAGAACCGGATAACGGATCGAACAGAATTGCAAAAGTTTAATACGGTCTTTCTTCCGCTTACTAACAAACTCAACGAATTCAAGATAACACTCAGCAATCATTTCCAGGCTTTTCACGATCTACTCAATGGAAAGGAAACTACCATGTAGAACTGGAAACGGATAAAAAAAAACAATAAATTCAGCATGTCATGAAGTTCTGGACCACAACAAGCACCATCACAAGGAATGTATCTCCGTTTATGCTCTGGATAAGATTCAAGAAAGGAAGAACAATAAGGAAACAATCAATATCAGCCGAACAATAGAAGAGAAAGCCAAGGTACAAGCTGAATACACAAAAGCAAACAAGAGAGTCAAAAGAAGCATCACAGCTGACAAACGAAAATATGTGGAAGATCTAGCAATGACGGCGGAAAAGGCTGCAAGAGAAGGAAAGATGAGACAATTGTACGATACAACAAAGAAGCTCGCTGGAAACTATTGTAAATCAGAACGACCAGTGAAAAGCAAGGAAGGAAAAGTAATCAGCAACTCTGAAGAACAGCAAAACAGGTGGGCAAAGCACTTTAAGGATCTCTTGAATCGATCAGCTCAAGTGAACCCACCCAGTATCGAAGCTGCATCCACGGACCTCCCAATCGATATTGGACCACCATCAATTGGAGAGATCAATATGGCCATCAGGCAAATCAAGAGTAGCGAAGCAGCAGAGCCAAACAACATATCAGCTGAGGGACTGAAAGCAGACATAACAGTAACTGCAAAGATATGGCAGACTGTTTTCAGCAAGAAAGGGAAGGAAGAACAAGTATCAACAGACTGGAAATAAGGACATCTCACCACGATACCGAAGAAAGGCGATCTCAGCAAATGTGAGAACTACAGGGGCATCACTCTTCTCTGAATACCAGGAAAAGTCTTCAACAAGGTGTTTCTAAACTGAATGAAGGACTCTATAGATGACCAACCTTGAGATCAATAGGCTGGATTCCGAAAGGATCAATCATGTACCGACCAAACTGCAACATTACATATCATTGTGGAATAATCAGTTGAACAGAATTCATCCCTCTACATCTGCGTCGTTGTCTACGAGAAAGTATTTGATAGTGTGAACAGGACAACACTATGGAGGGTTCTTCGATTCTACGGCGTACCTGAGAGGATAGTCAACATCATACGGAAGTCTTACGATGAATTAAACTACAAAATCGTACATGGAGGAAAGCTGACAAACTCGTTTGAAGTGAAGACCGGTGTCAGGAAAGGCTGCTGGATCTCATCCTTTCTCTTTCTCCTGGTGGTAGACTGAATTATGAAGACGTCAATATCTCAGGGGAAACACAGTGTATACATTGGACAGCTCCGATGCAACCAGACAATTTTCACTTTGCAGATGATCTAGCTCTTCTATCCCACACACAACAACAAGTGCTAATGAAAACAACCAGTAGCAGTGTGTCTCAACATGCACAAGGGCAGACATTAATAACAGGTTTAAGTCAATGAAAATAATTTACAGTCAGATGAAGATTCTAAACAAAACAATTAGATGGAATCTGTCCGTAGGATAAACTAAAAGGGGGCAGTATTGAGATTTAAAACTGTGACAAAGTGTTTCGAACTCAGTTGTTTAGATGTATGACCAAACCATGTATTTAACGCTAATCTGAGCCATAAGTTGCGCATAAATGTACATGCCATTTCTTTTCTCAGTGTTTCAAAAAGAGTAAAAATATTATTTAAAACTGATAATTCAACTCACTTTATGCTCTTCAACAAGACTTTCTAATCTAGCTCGTTCTAAATCTAACGAATGTAGAGATGCACGAAGTTCTTGTCCTGTTCTAGTCAATGCATCAACACGATGTTGTAATTCTTCAATTTGATCTTGTCTTCTTTGTCTACATTTGGCCGCTGCAACTCGATTACGTTCACGTCGTTTAGCACGACGTCTAGCCTCATCATCACTAACCTAATGTAAGTAAAGATAAAATGAGAAAAAAGAAAATTCATTTAGTAGAGAATTTAACACATCAAAAGTAGACGTTTCAAACTAACTTGTTATTACTTATTTATATTGTTTAAATACGCTTTCAAAATTAGTATAACCAAAGCATGTCTGAATACGTATAACACTAACACTAATGACACTCAAAATGAATAACGTTGTAATCATTTTTTGAAAGTTTTAAAGTGAAATAAACCAATAAAAATATCAATTCATTGATGCCAATATTTAAGATTATTTATTGTATATTGAAATCTAGTAGAGATATCATATCTAATTCTAATAAATTCAATTCTAACAAAATCATCAATTACATTAATTTCTAACAAACAATATAAATGTTTGACGCATTACAACACTACAATATACAAATCATTATCATTTCAAAACAACAAAATATAAATTTATATGACTCTTAATCATGTATTTCTGAGTCATCATCATACTTAGGTATCATCAATGATAGTGGAACAAAAAAAGTTCCAAGCATACCTTTATTTTTCCAACAGATTTTACAGCATAAACTAATTATTTTTATCGGTCATTTATGTAAACAAAATTTCACAATGTAAAAGTTTCGATTTTTACAGGGTAAGTATTTGATAGGCGGAAAGATATTGAATATCAGAAACAATGAATATACCACAATCAATAGTAATGAACTACTGTAATTTTACTTAATTCAGATAAGTTTTGCATGAACGCTACTCTTGAGATTTGATGAATTCATCGTTTACTAGTCGAATATGTGTAGAAAAAATATGTGCTTTGAGCTTTTGAGTAAATATGTTAGATTGTATGCATCAAGGTCGAGAAATCAAGAGGTTACGGCATTCAAATGATATTCCATTTAAGAATTGTTACAACGGGATTAGGACCCAGTAGACTGATAAATTATAATTCTTAGTATCGAAAAAGAGTAGACTCATATATTTAAGAAAAAAACCAAATTTATCTCCGTTATACAAGCTCTCTGGACTTGGTAGCTTAGCTGGCAATGCGTTGGGCATTTGATGCGAAAAGTACTAGGTCCGAATCTTGGCATCAACATCAACAACATCTTTATTAATTGAAGTCCTTGGAGTATGTATTACGTATGCCCAACCACTCATCACCTCAAAGCGTGACGATGGCTGGTGTAGGGGTAGGTTAAAAGATAGCCAATGATGGCCAGACCAATACATCAGTTCAAAAAGTCGTTAACTGTTAGATTAGGCCATGTAGGTAGGTGGATACTAGTTTCGTGTTGAACGTACGATTATCGTAACCAGTGGTTAGAGATATCGGGTTAAAGTGGCTCAGAAATTTTCCGGATGGCTTAGGTGCCTTCATTATTTGTCGGTCTCTAAATCACAAGTTTCTTAATTATCTAAAGGAAATGTTTTTATTCCATGAATTCTTATCTTCTTCGCCAGTCATACTTCTAGAAATCATGCATCGGTCAATGTTAGACCACCATTAGAAACCTGGAAGCTCTGGACTGCCGTTTCTTCCTAGTATAGAATTCATCATCAGTGCGCATCCATGACTCCTGCTACCACAGGAATCGGACCAAGGACCTTCGGTCCTGCGTGAGAACGCCTACCTCTGAACCACTGAGCCGAGTTCTAGTGAGAAGTTGTGACTAGTTGAGTCCAACCCTGTTCGGGTGTGAAGCAAAGCTCACAGAAGACAGTGGATGAGGTTGCGCAAGACCATGGATTGGTCGAAGTTAGACATTAATACCATTGGATGCCGGCTCAGTTATTCAAAGGTTAAGCATTTGCACGCAGGACCTAGGTCCTTGGTTCGATTCCGGTGGACAGCAGGGGTCGTGGATGCGCACTGGTGATAAGTTCCATACTAGGACGAAACGGCCGTCCAGCGCTTCCAGGTTTCTAATGATGGTCTCACATCGATCGATTCAGTGTTTCTAAAAATTATTCTTCTGACTAATATTTACTACCATTCTAATAATTATTATCATTATTCATTGGTTCAAACATCGTTTCTCAATACCAATTACACTGAATACGCGACTCCTAACAATTTGGTATACATAGTTTGTGATCATAGAACAACAACACTAATAATAATAAGGTGTGGTTAAAGGTAAGATACATTAGCATAACTATTCAGTTGTATATGCATTTAGTTACTACTTCTGATGAGTAAGTGAATGAGTGAATGGGTGAATAAATGACTAAATAAACTTCACATAGATGACGATCATAACATGCAATGAAACTTAACTGTGTGTACTACTATTTCAACGATTACAAGTTCATATACACTTTACAATAGATATTGACTTTCTTTAGGTTTGGATTACTAAAATAGTACCATAGCAACAAGCTTTTTTATTACAAGGAATCCACGCCCAATACTAATACTGCTACTACAACAATTACTACTACTACTACTACTACTACTAATAATAATAATAATAATAATAATAATAATAATAATAATATTGACAATAATGAGAAAATAGGTCGCCTAATAGTAGTAGTAACAGGGCCAGTAAAACAGATTATTAAGCATTCAGAGTAGACAACATTGAATCAATTGTTTAATTATTAACCACAGATATAATCATTAAATAATTGTAAGATGACAAAGAATTATGGTCGGTTTTCTTAGAGAATCTAATGTATCAGCAGAAATTAAACTATTATCTACAATAATTTCAATTGACAGATACAATACACTTAGTTTATTTCATTGAATCAAGTTGATGAATTCTCAAGAAATGATAAAACATCCTTTGAACGATGACTGCGTTAACGGGATATTGCACAGTTTTCATCATCATCGTCATCGTTATCATCAAAAGAAACTAATATGAATTCATTTACTTTGTCTTTTGATGATTATGGTTGCATTCTGAAATGAAACAGTTGTCATCAAGAAGATTGGATATTTGTTGCACTACAACACAAATTGATTACAAATGGAATTGTCCCATTGTCAATCAGTCAGCTACAATGTAGAACAATATATGAGTACATGAGTTCAAGTTGCCGTACCACATTAGCACAGAGAGATGGAATTGTCAGTTAAAACTCCATAGTAGTAAAGGTTGTAGCAGCACTGAGATCGAAGATATGATTCGAGAAATATATCCCAGTAAAATCACCAATTGATTTGCCATCCTAACAACAGCATTGCTTACTCCATGGTCCCAGGATATACGAACAATGCTTCGAAGACACCTATGATCGAATGATAGTAACCTACGAATATCCTCTCAACTTGCTAGCCATGTTTTACACCAGTAAAGTAAGACGGAGAGAACTGCTGCGCAGTAATCTCGTCCTTTAGTTAGCAAAAGCCAGTCGAGCCTTCTGTATCAGTGCTGAGATTTCGTCACATACCAGGCCATCAAGAGTGATAAGACTTCCAATATAATAAAGGCAGTCAACGCCCTCAACTGCTTTACTCCACATCACTAGTTACAGTGCCGATGTAAGACAATCTTGATGTACAATCTTGCATTTCGAGAGCAGAATAGCAAATACAGCATAACTGTATTGTTGCTTAAGGTGGTCAGAAGAGTGCATTTTGTCAATGTTTTTACCAAAGAGAACTATGTCATCGGCATATTTCAAGTTAATAAGTGAATCTCCTGGCAAAAGTTTAAATCCTGAAAAGTCAGACGATGAAAGTGTCATCTCTAAGCATGTCAATCACAAAGTTTAACATTGACAGACACTGCCATAGAAACCCATAAACAACAGAGTCGAATGCTACCTTAAGATCGAGGAATACAACTATTGTCGGACGTCAAAATGTATGCTCATGTTCCAGGACCTGATAAAGCGTGAAAATTCGGTCCATTCTTCCACATCCAGGTCTAAAACTAGACGGCTTTTCTCAAGTCTGCTCTACATAAGCCTTCGTTAAGCGTCGGAGTATTACTAAAGCTAATAATGTAGACACTATATTAATTAGACTGATTCCTCTGTGATTGTCCCTGAGACAATCAGGGATTGAGACCAGTAGGATGAGATTGCGTCCAGTTCCCAAATTATACCTAAGATCTCAGTCAATCCAACTGATAAAACTGGACGACCATCCTTAAAAATCTGAGGGGTAAGCCTGTCAGGGACTGCTACTGTCCCTTTTCTGAGATTTCCCATAGCTTTTTCAACTTAATTAAGAGTTGGAGGACTCACGTCATCTTGCAATTCAGGTTGAGTGGGGATGGTGGACAACTGAAGTGCGGCTGAAGGCCAGTTGAACTGACCCTTAAAGTGCTCTGCCCATCGACCCAATCTCCTGGATTGAGAATGAGTAATTAGACCAGCCTTTTCCGAAATATTCTCACTTAAACTCGAATTCCTAATACCAGTTTCCTTGATAAGTCTGAATAGTTGTCTACTATTACTTGTTACCGCCGCCTCATCCATCTCTCCTGCTTTCGCTAACCACCACTGTTCGCGATCATTTCTAACCTTATCTCACTGAATTATACTTCTTGAATAATATCTTCAAACCCTAGTCTTCTTCATTACCATTAATACCCCTACTATCTTTATCACTATGGGATTTGATTTTACATTTGCGTCTCTGTGCTCATGTGGTATGGTAACATGAACTTATGTACATACGTACGAAGTTCTTACGTTGCAACTGACTGACTGATCATTGCATAGGCTTCTTATCTGTCTGCACCTAAGCTGACTACGCCTCTCATCGTGTTCATAGCCAGATGGGATGTGTTTCCAAGCATCTGTCGGTTCGGTAGATGCCACTGAAATCCGCCGTTGCCTCGAGGTGGGCATCACTTACATGGCTGCCTGACTGCTTTTCTAGTTGCTTTGCTATCGTTAAGTAGAATTCTAAGGGGTTTTCTTGATGTGTCCTTCCTACGTCCAGTAAGACGAAGACAAATACGAGCTCGTACTAGAGCATGACCTGAATCTAAACATGTGCTCCAGAATGAGTGGCAGTCTGATATCGAGCCGCTCCATCGGTGGCTA